GAACACATAATACTCCCACGGTTCATATCATAAAAACAAAACTACATTAATTCCTTAATTTCTATGAATTTTAAGTAGCACACATAACCTTCCATAAATTTTGTTATTCAAAACTTAGTCCATCTTAAAAACATCTAAGTAAACCTTACCTCCACACATTCAAATTGGGTTATCACATCTCCTTGTCTTCCAAAAATATAAGAAATACTAATAGTAGAAGAGAATACTTAGAGCCGACAAGACACCAAATCATAGTCAAATTTTATATTGTTATCCATCAAAATACTTAAACCAACATGGGAGTGTCTCCAAATCAAAGCCTAAATAGTGATGGAAGCTTTCTTAAAGATAAGTTCTTCAGAGTCTAAGAAGAAAAACACAACATTTTACTATCCAAGGAATACCACAGCGCAAATTTTTGATCAAATTCAAAGAATAAACTGATTTAGCTTAGGTATTTCTAGCATGTGTGACCTATATGGTTGAAAATATATACGAATTAGGATTCTAACAAAAAAAAAGGTGCACCATTTGGACTTTTCAACAAAAATTTATGATCAAATTAGTGAAAGGTAGTCTGTTAGACTGATTGATTCTGCTATACTTATCCAACTTGAATTTGCGTGTCTTTTGTCACTAATCCTATCTCATACCCCTCTCTAATATAGATAGTATGACTTGCATAAAGATTCATGCTTAGAATTATTTGGCAAAAATTTTGAGATGGATATGCTAGTTTTATATCCTGTCGTTACGGACTATTCTTGGAGACGGATGCACTTGCCAACAAATAATTCGAACAAATAATCAATCCATAACCTAACTAAACAACCAATCAAACTTATCTTACAAACATATTACTTCAAACAAAGTCAAGCCTAGAGTTTCCACTACTTTAATGCATTTAACAATAATACAAACTTTTGAATTATTATTTACAGTAATTTTTTGCAACATATGAGTATAAGTAAAATATCCAGATTAACAATAAATTAAACTAAAACAATAAGTAAATCTAAAATTAACATTAAAATATGGACATGATTATTTTTTAATGTTTCATGTTTTACTCATTTTTTCCTTTTGTTTAACTGATTTTAATTTTGTGCTTGTATTTAAAAAACTTAATAATACATTACTCACCATTTTGTTATGCAATTTTTGGTTATATTTTCAAAAGTCTCATTTTTATTCATAGTTAACATACAAAAATAGATTAAAATATATAACATTAATAAGAATATATAAAAATTTTCTTGTTTGCTAACTTTTAAATTCAATAAAGCAAGATTTACTTACCTGAATCGTGATAAATTCTTTCTAGAGGATTTTAAACCCTAGTCTCTTGCGATTTTTGAAATGAGATATTAAAGAAGGTTTTTTCTAATAGTTTTTTATTGCGCATATGAGTTTGGCCACCAAAAAATTACTAGAACCTTAGAATCGTTCAATGAAGAATATTTTTGAAGGTATTGTGTTAGTTTTTGTGTAAGAATAATGGTAAGAAACATTCGATTTTAAATGAATTAAAAAGGCGCAAAGAATATTTTTATCCAATTAGTTATTTGTGGCCTTTAGGGCTCAAAATCTTTTAAATTAGACTTAAATGAAAATTGGAAGTAAGTCCCCATAGATGTACTTGTTTGGAGATAAGTCCTATAAGGAAACTTATAAGAAGCTAAGTCCATGTTTAAAATTATATATAATGACTTAAGTCTACTTTTTTTTTTATCTCAAAAATACCCTTCCTTGAAATGAGGTTCAATTAATTTCCTATTTTGGATATAGTTATCCCTTAATTCAATGTCAATTAAGATATGCCAATAAAATCTCTTTCATAAATTTAAAATTCAAATTCAAAATTCTCTCTCTCTCTCTCTCTCTCCGGCCACCTAGTGGCGTTGTTTCATCAATGTTCATCTTTTAATTTTCTATGAATTATGTCAATTTTGTGGATGAAAATCTCTAGTCCTTATTAATTTGTTATTTTTTATAATTTGTGGTATTTTTCATGGGGGTTAATTTGTTAAATTGAATGTTTTGGGTTACTATTTTTTTTATTATGCTACTGTTCATGTTACTGCTTTTGTTGAGTATGTTACTGTTCCTGTTACTATTAGTTTGAGCATGTTATTATTTTTGTTGAGCATGTTACTACTATTATTTTTCTAAATATTAATATTCAATGTTACTATTTTTTTTTGTTTTTGAATATTACTATTTTTTGTGTTTGAATGGTATTATTTTTGCGTTTGAATTTAAGAAAAATAATTATTGTTAAGTATATTACAGTTTTTGTTAATACATGTTACTATTTTTGTTAAACATGTTAATATTTTTGTTGAACATGTTACTATTGTTATTTTTTAAAAATATTAATATTGAATGTTTCAATTTTTTTATGTTTAAATGTTACTATTTTGTTGTGTATAAATGTATTAGTTTTTGTGTCCAAATGATAACTTCTTTTTTTTTTTGTATTTGAATGTTACTATTTTATATTTTTAATGTTACTATATGTATATACTAGTTATTGCCTGTGTCTGCAGGCATACAGTAATAAAAAATGATAAACAATAAACATATTTGTATTCATATCCAAAATCAAATCATAAACATAAGGAAGAGATAAAAAAATTTAAGCATCGATTTGTAATGGGAATGAGAGTTGGTGGGTGGCAGTGGTAATAGTAGGAGATGGTGATGCTTGTGGTGGGTGACAATGACTGTGGTGGCAATGGTGATGGTGGTGGTGGTGGTGGTGGGGAGGTGGTGGTTTTGGCGACGGCTGCGGTGGTGGTGGCGATAACGGTGGTGGTAGTGGGGATGGTGGTGGTGGCGACAACAGTGGTGGTTGGGGTGGTGGTGGCGGTGGTAGTGGTGGCGATGACGACGACAACGACGACGGTGGTGGTGGCGGCGGCGACGACAGTGGTGGTGGTGGTAGCGGTGGTGGTAGAGGTAGTGGTGGGGCGGTTTCAAACACTATATTTTTATAAGTTTTTGTGAGAAATAATTTCTAGAAGTACTTTTAAAAAGTTACTTCAAACACACCCTTAAGAGCCTATTTTTTCTATTAAATTTAGGTTGTTAATATTAATCGTTAGATTAATTTTAAAATAAAATTTAAAGCGATCTTAACCACGAATAGCAAAAGTCATTTTGTTTATCTTTTGAAATTTGAATTGTAAGATACTTTATTATATAGACTAGTCATTACCCGTGCCTGAAGACACTACGTTACTTATAAAATTTCAACACACAAAGATAGGATGTTTGAATAATTTGAACACATATTGATTAGATTGGTTTTGAAAATTTTTTGTTAGTGCAATTGATATCTTATTTTTTTTTGTATTGGTCACTTATTTTTTTTAATTGCTGATTAACTTGGGTTTTGAATTTTTTTTTTTAATTTTATAAGAACTATATGTTTTCATACACTAGTGATTTATTTTTGGTATGAATAATAACTTGATGATTTTATTTATGGATTAGAAAGATAATTTCAACCTCATTGATTGATAAAAAGTAAGAAGTAAATATCAATCATCGTTACTAAGATGCGTGATAAGAAGATCTACTTACAGTGTATTCTAGGTGTGAATCAGTTTGTAATAAGCAGGATGAAAAATTATATAGTAAGAATATAATGATTTTTAATGAAATATTATACAAAATGTTTTAAAAAAATTGATATATTAAATAACTTACATGTTCAAAAATGGTGACATTGTCCATTTGGGTACTGATTTTTGTGTTGCAGTGACGGTGTGTATGCGGTTATTGGGGTCGAATGTTAATTTGTCAAACTTTGAAAAAAAAACACTAAACTTAGAGATATTATGTATTTTATGTGTGTTTAACAAAAATATTTTTAATTTTATATAAAGTTTTATCGTAAAATTAGAAATTAAACAAAACCAACCTAAATCAAGGTACATATATAACATATAACATTTAGATCATTTAATTTAAAATGAATTTAATCTGAGTTGTTATTATGTTTTTTCAAATTTAAGATAGAAACGTATGAGAGATAGGAGTGTAGAGTCTTATGATAAGAGGTTTATTCATGGGTGAAAAAAGAAAATTTGGATTAACTATAGACCATTAGATCAAAATTTTTGAGATGACCTGAACAATCTTTTATGTTAGGATTACGTTATCCGTTGGATGCGTTTATATCTTGTCTCTAAACGATCTGGACCTCTGTTTATCTTTTGGATTCAAACTTTGTTCTACTTTATTATATAAATATATTCATATATATATATATATATATATATATATATATGAATATGGATAGATATGAGCGATAAAAATTTTTAATGTTAGTCAAATTCTTAACCAATATATGAATATAGATAGATATTAGAGAGAAAATATTTAAATGTTAGTCAAACTTCTAAGATTAAGAAGTTTTAACTTTTAATTTTATTTTACTTCTAAAAAGAAGAGATAATATGGTAAAATCTTCGTACCAAATAAATTTTTTTAACGACTTAAGTCTAAATAAGTTCATACAGAACCGGCCTCCGACTTCCCCGGATATAGAGACAAAAAGTCCGATATCAAAGGGCCCAAAACCCCCTTTTTTTTTTTGTTTTGTTTTCCTTTGGGGGTAAACTAGTACTGGGACACAGTTGAAGAGATTCCCTGTAATTGTTAAAAGCAAACATATTCTGGTACCGAAGGTCGTACGGGCAGGCGGGAAGCAAAATAATGCAGGTTCTCCGAAGAAATCTACTGCAGAGGAACTCATTATCTTCATTCATTCAAGTTCGTACTAAAAACTCCAATCATTTGTATGCTTATGTGTGTGATTGTACGTACTAATGTTTGTGTCTCTCGATTGATTCACTGAATGGTTACTTCCCAATGAGTACGCGTGTTCCATATTCACATCATTCTCAATCAAGGGCTTCAGTTAGTTTTCAATTTGGTTTACACATGACCTTAGCTTTCGGTTCAACTCTGATACCTACTCAGATAATATTATGCTTTTGATAGAAAAAAGTGTATGTGTTGTCGTTCAGTCCACTCTTTATTCATTCCATACTGTCGGGGGGATTTGTTCAAATGTAAGTTTCGGCCTTTGATCACTAATTGCCTGTTCCAATCAAGTATAAAATTTTGCATTTTATATATCTTCCACCGAAATTTTGGCATTTTTCCTTTGTTTTTATCAGAAAACGTTGTGGATAGATCAGAACTGGTGGTGGGTCTCAATTGAATTTGCCCTTTTTGCATGAAAAATTGTGCAAATCTCTTTCACACTTATTTTCAAGTTGAAAATATGTTAGTTTTTGATGAATTGGGCATTGCAGGTAGCCAAAACCCGTGCATATTCTATTAATAAGGTTTACGATGTGGGGCAGCCAACTGCTGTTACTCACCCTGAGGTACTGATACGCAGCATCTGTTATTATCCTGCTGTTCAAAACTTTATTTTTCTTCAAATTTTAACTACCCTTGTCTGTGATCCTAGTTACTAAATGAAGGGTATATCACACCTGGCATAACTAGTGAGGAATATATTTCAAGAAGGCAGAGATTATTGGAGCTTCTTCCAGAGAAGAGTTTAGCTATAATTGCAGCTGCCCAAGTAAAGATGATGACCGATGTCGTGCCTTACACTTTTAGACAAGATGCTGATTACTTGTACATCACTGGCTGCCAACAACCAGGTGGCATAGCAGTTTTAGGTCACGACTGTGGTTTATGTATGTTTATGCCTGAGGCAAGCTCTCAGGTATGTGCCCAGAGTGTAGGATGAAAGATTGTGCTGTGCATTGGAAAACATATGGAGGCTTTACCTTCTCTGCGTATAGGGATGTCCTGCATATATTTTACATGAATATGGGATGGGTGCCATGCATATAGAGGTTGTAATGCACATTGGAATGCAGCAATTTGATATCTGGCTAATTATTTATGAAATATCTTTTAGGATGTCATTTGGCAAGGTCAAACGGCTGGAGTCGGTGCAGCTTTAGACACATTCAAGGCTGATCAATCATTTCCCATTGATAAATTACATCAGGTGACTGTTCATTTATTTTGGATAATTCTGAAAACTAGGGGAAAAAGTTAAAAGGTTGCATTTTAAAACGCCATGGCTACCATACTTAGAATTGCGCGAGGTAAAGGCAGATATTGAAGACAGGCTTTTGTTCTACACTCATCTGTGACAGCACCTTTTTTCAAACTCACGATTTCCTCAATAGTTTGCTAATCTAACTTACCCAAAACAAAAAAAATCATTTGGTAATCTATAAATGTTTGAGTATAACAGCTGAAGTAATTACAGAGAGGTGATAGAATGGGGGTAAGGATAACCTTTTGAGTTCAAGTTGCATTTTGAATAATTGTCTGAGGTCATATCCAGACAAAATTTGGTAGTAATAGTGATTTTGGGACAGAAAGAGGTCTAGGTCACAAATGAAGAGCTAACTACTTAAAGAAGAATAGATGGTGGTGGATTAAGGATAAGACATTGATAAAGGGAAGTAGAAGTAGAGTATCACTCTCAAATCTCACAGCTCTTGTCTCAGACTTACCACAACCTTCTTTTGTATACATCAGTGTATGCTCTAAAATTACCACTAACCATTACCATAGTCTTACTTAAGCACCGTCTGTTACCTTGAGTGGCATTTGCCTGGCACCCTGACAGGGAGACATGCACTGTTTGAATCATTGATGGGACATAGGTCTGGGTGCATTACTTACTGAGTAGATTTTTAGTCTACTCAAGGACCTTAATAATGCAACAGTTCAAAATGCTGTTAATTGCTTATTTGAAAGAAGAAATGAAATGCACCTAATTGGGTTCAGTATAGGAGCTCGAAAACCAAACTTCATAAAACATATAAAGTCACGAAGTTTCAAAAGACTGTCAAGGTCACAAGACTGAATTCTATTGAACTTGAAGGTTGCATAAACAACTTGGATGAAGAGTCCAAAAAACCAAAATTTTGGAACTTTGACTACCAATAGCATTCCAGATCTAACAAAGACCACAGAGAACAACAAAGTATCAAAAAATTACCAAAACTAAGGCCCATGGGTTGCTATTTAATCCCATATAACATAACTTGATGTCCACTATGGACACTTTATTCGTGATCTGAAAGTCTTTTTGATTGGCATGGGTTTTTTCCTAAAGACAAGACTCTGTGGTTCAAAATGACGTGTCCATGGCAAGAACCTTCTATCCTTGGCTTTTGGGGGAATTTGATTTTTTGGGAGGCCTGGAGGGATGATTGAGTGTTGTTTTCTTTGGGATTTCTTTGCCACCTTTGTTTTGAGTATTGTTCATTTTTGTTTCTTTTTTCTTCTCTTTTCTCATGTTTTTTCTGCTCTTTATATATCCTTTTACATGGATTCTGCCCTCTTGGCTCCTCTATAGTAATTTCACTTGCACACAGAAAGGCAAAGTGGATATGTCTTCTCTATTGAATAAGTGCCTACTGCATTTGGCAATAACAGTTCTGCTTGTATTCCTTAAGAGATATTGATGCTGGCTTTTTTGATACGTGTCTTATAAATAATGAGAGGATTAATAAAAAAACATGCGACAGTTTTTGCGATTTGGGTCATCCAATTTAGATCCACTTATAAATACGATGATGGCGGGGTATGCTACCTTCACGAAGCTGCTCATACTCCTTTGTTGGTTGCTGCAGATCCTTCCGAAAATGCTAGGAAATTCGTCAAAATTATTTCATAATGTGAAGACAGCCATACCGACTTACATGGATTTGGAGGCTTTTCAGAAACTGGCTTACAATGGAAAAGTGAAAGATCTCTCTCCTCACATACATGAAGCACGATGGATAAAGTCAGCATCTGAGCTTAAATTAATGAGAGATTCTGCGTCAATAGCCTGCCAGGTACTTGTACATTAAGTTGTTCTCAACTATGTTAGTTGCATTAATGGATAGGCTTATAATCTGGATGTGCCTTTTTTTTTTTTTCCTGACTGAAGATATTTCCTCACTTTCTGTCTTGTGATAAAGTAGGTATTGTTAAATACGGAATACAAATAAAAGCATGCTTTCATGTTGAAATCATGAAGATAAAAATGCTAAACTGGTGTAGGTAGTATAGACACATTTTTGGTCTATAATAATATCTAATCAGAACAAAACTAGTTTTTTGTTATAGCTGTACAAGTAAACTGATCAACATATAACTAGACCAATTGACTTTCTATGCTACAGCTGTTCATTAAAATGAAATAGATTATTAAGCTAATTATTGTACATTTTGTTTGCATTTGAGAAGTAGGGACACGAACATAGACACGGACACGGACACAAATACAACATGACATGAACATGACAACATTTGAATTTTCCAACATGTTGGGGGACACACTAAATAATATAATTATTATGTTTCCTCTGATCATATAGTAAAATGCTGACATTTTCAATCAAATTACGAGGTAACAAATGCACAAATTGTGAGACATCAGCTATCAAGTCATTAATGCAGCAATTCTAACATTTTACATCAATCTGTCTATAAGTATATCCCGATAAGCCGATACCTTATTATTATGGAGAAGATTGTTTTCCTTGCAAGGGAGTATTTGTGTTTCTCCATTTTCTTGTGAGGCAGTGTTTGTGGTTGAGTTTTGAGGGTTTGCCAAAAGCAAGAAGGCATGTCTCATTTGAAGACATGCAATGATGGCAACCCTTTAAGTCTTATGGTAATAAAAACATGTTAGAATCTTTAAAGATAAGTTTGATGCTGAGATTGCATTGTAGGAAATAGTTTACTTTTTTACTTCATTTTGGGTGTTAGTGCCTCCTATTTTTGTGGCAAATCCATTATTTTTAATAATTGAACATTAGAAATCTGTATTTTAGAAATCTATTTTTGTGGAAAATCCTGTATTTGTACTTTTGGTTTGTCTTTTTTGTTCATTTTCTTTCTTGTTCCTCAATGAATGGTAATTCACTCTTGTATTAATCAAATTTCTGTGTTGCTCATGAAAAACAGATCTTAATAAAAATCAGTCAATCCAATCTTCTCACAATTCCACACTATGATCTTCTAAAATGAAAAATAATGTGTCAAATATACCATTATTAAGTCACTGTAATCTTCCATAATCCAACATTTAGTAAGTAATGCATTTCAATTTAAAAAATCCCCAACTTCCTAATCCTAACCTTCATTCAATTTCTTAGCGCCATAAGAAACCCTAATTATCATCAAATTATTTGTAAACAAATAGGGTATTCTGTTTGTGATTAATTTGGCAGCTACCATTTCATAATCATGCCCAAAATTGTGTCCCTTGGTGTAGTGATTCTCTTTAAAATTGCAAAAAGAACTTCATTGTTGATGAAGTTACTAGACCAGTTTTAAGAATTTTGAAAAGGACCCAAACCTTGTCCTCTTTGTGTATCATAAATGGCAGTATACAAAAAAATAAAAACCTATCTTAATGTATCCAAAACATGTACGGTTATGTTTGTAGCATGTCTGTATTCTAGAATCTAGATGTGTCCGACACTAACACTTTGCCTAAACAATGCATACCTCTTAATAAGGATATATCGAGACCAATAAGCCACATTAACCTTTGCAATGAACTGTTGAACATATAGTTCTAGAATATACAATTTAAAAGTATTTGCGGCAAATTTTATTATTTTTTTGAACCTTACCCTAGAAAAGAAATTTTTTCTGAGATAGGATATATACGCACCCATGTGTATGTTTAGTATTCCATTGTCTAGCAACCTAGAAAAATCCCAACGAATGCTTTTTTATTTGTTAAGCTTGGTTTGCGTTTGATCAAAATTACATTCTCTTCTTTACATGATTTCTAGCTACTTGTTTTTGGAATATTGGATCTTTTGATAGAAAATAGTGAAGAGTTGGTTATCTTGGTTTGGTATTTGTATGTAAGGTGAGATTAGAGATGGTTCTCAAATAATTAAATCAAGATGAGTCAAGTTAGATTGCTTATGAGAGATATCATGTGATTGTCTAACTCTTTAAGCTAGGAAGGGAAATTTTGTTAACCCGTTGTTATACACACCATGTTTATGGTGTAAAAGTAGCGCTTCTGCGGGATAAATTGATAGAAAGTCGATGAAGATGGTCTAGAGATGTTTAATAAAGACCCTTAATTGTAACATTGAGGAGTGTTTTTATTATATTTGTTAGATCATATTTTGTAATTGACTAATATTGTGAAGTTCTTGTAAATCTCAATCTATTCTGGTCATGATGTTACAACGATGATGACTTGAAAACGTCAAATGGAAGAGAGGAGATCATGCTTCAAGCTACGTCAAATAAACTTTTCGAATGCACCTCGATGTTTAGGGTAAATGTAATTATCTTAGGGATCTAAGAGCCCTTAATTTAATTTATTAGATTTAGGATGATTAGTGTTAAAATGGAATCTGTGATTGATCCTGTATGGCTCTTAGGTGTTCTTTAAATAAATTTTTTTTTCTAAATCTCTTTTATGTTTTAAAAACATAGATTGAGTCATTAGTGAACTCCTGTTGGGCAACGCCCTTTAATGTTAAAGAGGACAATTTTTTTTTTTAGGATTAAAAAATTAGTAGAGACTACCCTATGTTTGAGATGGCTCAAACGGTCCTTGAGGTTGCACGAACGGTCTCTGCTCTGCCTTTCTGGTTGGAATCCAAATTTCATTCCAGTGACCATTGCCCATCCACTGATCGAGCAGTCGTTCGAGAATCTGTTTCCTTGGACTCTAAGACAAACTCTATTCTGAGCCTATAAATAAAGGGATGCCTTCTCAACCTAGGGTAAGTCTCTTGTGAATATTTTCAGCCAATCTTATACTTTGAAAGCTTGAGCCACAACCCTAGATCCCTATATTCAAAGGCTACCATTTTGTGATTTCTATCCTATCTCACACCTTGGAAAAGA